AAGGGGTGAGACCAGTGGAATATCTTAGATGGCTGCTCACAGGCTTTTAAGACCCCAGATGCTACTCACCAAGGCAGAATGTAGAACATTGTCTTTATAAACTGTGTTATGCCAGTTGAGCTAGATGTTCCCTGAGACCATGGTCCCCACAGCCCTCCACCCAGCAATTCAGTCCCTCAAGGAGTTTGGAAGTGTCTAGGGAGCTTCCATGACCTTTCCTTGTACAAGTTGTGGTGGCTTCCCCAGTAATGTGTACTGTCTTAACCTTCACCAAAGTTACCACTTATCTATTTAGTTCCTTCCCACCCCTCCCATCCCTCATAAACAACAAAGATTGTTTCTTTTTGTGTGTGAACTTTTTCATGAGTTATACAGTAGAAGTCTCATACAATATTTGTCCTTTTGTGATTGACTTATTTCACTTAGCATAATGTCCTCCAGTTTCATCCATGTTATGAGATGCTTCACAGATTCATCATGGTTCTTTATCTTTGTATAATACTCCATTGTGTGTTTGTACCGTAGTTTGTTTATCCATTCATCTGTTGATGGGCATCTAGGTTGTTTCCGTCTTTTTGCTATTGTGAACAGTGCTTAAATGAATATGGGTGTGCATATGTCTATTAGTGTGACGGCTCTTATTTCTCGAGGATATATTTCTAGGAGTGGGATTGCATTTTGTAGTGCTTTTCTTTGTGGTGCTGATGTTTTCTTTGTTCCTCTTACTCTCCTGTGCTGAGTTCCTTTTGTTTGTGGATTTTGTTTTCATTTCTTTTGTTTTTGTAGTTTTGTTTTTACTGAGACTTTATGTTTTTCTTCTTTATTTTGATGAGTAGATTTGTTAACTTTCTTTGTGGTTACCTTGAAATTTACCGTTATCTTCCTAGATTTGAACCAGTCTATTATTACTTGGTATTGCTTGACTTCCTCTCCATTAGAAGGTTCTATACCTACACCGTTTATTCCCTCTTTTATTGTTCTGATGCTGTTGTCATTTACAGATTGACCTCTCTGGTTCCCTCTTGTAATTCTTTTGGTTTTATATAGTCCTTAAGAGTTCATTCCGTAGGTTGGTATCTGGCTAGTACAATCCTGTGTTGTATATTTAGCCTGTGGTCTGATATTGGTTTGTTCTCAGATCAAAGGACTTCCTTTAATAAGTCTTGTAAGTTTGGTTTGGTTTTTGCATAGTCCCTTAATTTCTGTTTATCTGGAAATGACCTAATTTCACCATCATATTTGAAAGAGAGTTTTGCAGAATATATTATTCTTGGCTGGCAAATTTTTTCTTTCAAGGTTTTATATATGTCATCCCATTGCCTTCTTTCCTGCATAGTTTCTGCCATATAATTCGAGCTTAGTCTTATTGTTTCTCCTCTGTATGTGATTTTTTGTTTTTCTCGAGCTACTCTCAGGATTCTTTGTCTTTGGTTTTAGTGAGTGTGATTATGATATGCCTTGGTGATTTTCTTTTGGGGTCTGTGCTATATGGGGTTTGTTGAGCTTCTTGCATGGTCAGCTTTTCATCTTTCATGATATTGAGGAAGTTTTCTGTCAGCAGTTCTTCAGTGATCCTCTCTGTGTTTTCTGTTTTCCCCCTCTGTTCTGGAACCCTGATCACTTGCAGATTTTTGGTTTTGATTGTATCCCACATAATTCTCAGGGTTTCTTCATTTTTCTTTGTTCTTTTTTTTGATTTTTCCTCAGAGTTGTATCCAAGTGTTTGTCTTCAATTTCATGATGCTGTCTTCCATCGTTTCACACTTGCTTCTCAGCCCTTCTATGACACTGTCCATTTCTGAAATCTTGTTGTTTATCTTTTGGATTTCTAATTGTTGTTTTTGTATGATTTCTAGTTGTG